CAGCGCCTGGGGGAGGATGTGGAAGGCATTCAGGCTTAATTCGGGGAACTGGAGCACAGATCCAGTTCCCTGGATCAAGAGCCCCTCTCCAACATCAAGGAACTTTCCTTGAGGGGAGAAATTGTCAAAGAGAATTTTTTTTTTTTTTTTCATCTTCCAAAAAAAATGGGGACATTTATGCTTACGAATTTCGTGTATTATTATTTTCTCTTACCTTGTATTATCGTTATTATTATTAATTATAATGAAGCATTAAATCCGTAAGGGTGGTTCAGAACCAGCGAGAATTGATCAGGTTTGATCCAAGAGGAGAGTCTGACTTTCTGCAATGAGGAGCTTTAACAAGTAGTTATGGCTAGGTAGCCAGGTGTAGAATGGCAGGTGTTCACCACCTGCACCACCACCACCTGTCACCACCTGCACCACCACCACCTATCACCACATGCACCCCTACCACCACCTGCATCAACACCGCCTGCCACCACCTGCACCACCACTACCTGTCGCCACCTGCACCACCACTATCTGTCACCACCACCACCTGTAACCATCTGCACCATCACCATCTGCACCCCCACTTGCACTGCCACCTGTCGCTTTCAGGTGTTACCTCCCCTAACACTCCCGGAAGAGGATTACCAGCAGGCACTTGGCACTCTACCCTTGTTATTGTTCACTTGGCACTCTACCCTTGTTATTGTTCACTTGGCACTCTACCCTTGTTATTGTTCACTTGGCACTCTACGCTTGTTATTGTTCACTTGGCACTCTACCCTTGTTATTGTTCACTTGGCACTCTACCCTTGTTATTGTTCACTTGGCACTCTAACCTTGTTATTGTTCACTTGGCACTCTACCCTGTCACTTGTTCCCTGGTACTCTCCCTGTCACTTGTTCCCTGGTACTCTCCCTGTCACTTGTTCCCTGGTACTCTCCCTGTCACTTGTTCACTGGTACTCTCCCTGTCACTTGTTCCCTGGTACTCTCCCTGTTACTTGTTCCCTGGTACTCTCCCTGTTACTTGTTCCCTGGTACTCTCCCTGTTACTTGTTCCTTGGTACTCTCCCTGTCATTAGTTCCCTGTTACTTGTTCCCTGGTACTCTCCCTGTCGCTTGTTCCCTGGTACTCTCCGTCGCTTGTTCCCTGGTACTCTCCCTATCGCTTGTTTCCTGGTACTCTCTCTGTCACTTGTTCCCTGGTACTCTCCCTCTCGTTTGTTCCCTGGTACTCTCCCTGTTACTTGTTCCCTGGTACTCTCTCTGTCGCTTGTTCCCTGGTACTCTCCCTGTCGCTTGTTCCCTGGTACTCTCCCTGTCACTTGTTCCCTGGTACTCTCCCTGTCACTTGTTCCCTGGTACTCTCCCTGTTACTTGTTCCCTGGTACTCTCCCTGTTACTTGTTCCCTGGTACTCTCCCTGTTACTTGTTCCTTGGTACTCTCCCTGTCATTTGTTCCCTGTTACTTGTTCCCTGGTACTCTCACTGTCGCTTGTTCCCTGGTACTCTCCGTCGCTTGTTCCCTGGTACTCTCCCTATCGCTTGTTTCCTGGTACTCTCTCTGTCACTTGTTCCCTGGTACTCTCCCTCTCGTTTGTTCCCTGGTACTCTCCCTGTTACTTGTTCCCTGGTACTCTCTCTGTCGCTTGTTCCCTGGTACTCTCCCTGTCGCTTGTTCCCTGGTACTCTCCCTGTCACTTGTTCCCTGGTAACTCTCCCTGTCACTTGTTCCCTGGTACTCTCCCTGTCACTTGTTCCCTGGTACTCGTTTCCCTGGTACTCTCCCTGTTACTTGTTCCCTGGTACTCTCCTGTCGCTTGTTCCCGGGGTACTCTCCCTGTCGCTCGTTCCCTGGTACTCTCCCTGTCACTTGTTCCCTGTTACTCTCCCTGTCACTTGTTCCCTGGTATTCTCCCTGTCACTTGCTCTCTGGTACTCTCCCTGTCACTTGTTCCCTGGTACTCTCCCTGTCACTTGTTCTCTGGTACTCTCCCTGTCACTTGTTCCCTGGTAATCTCCCTGTCACTTGTTCCCTGGTTCTCTTGCTGTTACTTGTTCCCTGTTACTCTCCCTGTCACTTGTTCCCTGGTACTCTCCCTGTCACTTGTTCTCTGGTATTCTCCTTGTCACTTGTTCCCTGGTACTCTCCCTGTCACTTGTTCCCTGGTACCTCTCCTGTCACTTGTTCCCTGGTACTCTCCTATCACTTGTTCCCTGGTACTCTCCCTGTCACTTGTTCCCTGGTACTCTCCCTGTCACTTGTTCCCTGGTACTCTCCCTGTCCCTTGTTCCCTGGTACTCTCCCTATCACTTGTTCCCTGGTACTCTCCTTGTCACTTGTTCCCTGGTACTCTCCTTGTTACATGTTCTCTGGTACTCTCTCTTTCGCTTGTTCCCTGGTACTCTCCGTGTCGCTTGTTCCCTGGTACTCTCCCTGTCGCTTGTTCCCTGGTACTCTCCCTGTCACTTGTTCCCTGGTACTCTCCCTGTCACTTGTTCCCTTGTACTCTCCCTGTCACTTGTTCCCTGGTACTCTCCTTGTTACTTGTTCTCTGGTACTCTCTCTGTCGCTTGTTCCCTGGTACTCTCCGTGTCGCTTGTTCCCTGGTACTCTCCCTGTCGCTTGTTCCCTGGTACTCTCCCTGTCACTTCTTCCCTGGTACTCTCCCTGTCACTTGCTCTCTGGTACTCTCCTTGTTACTTGTTCTCTGGTACTCTCTCTGTCGCTTGTTCCCTGGTACTCTCCGTGTCGCTTGTTCCTGGTACTCTCCCTGTCGCTTGTTCCCTGGTACTCTCCCTGTCACTTGTTCCCTGGTACTCTCCCTGTCACTTGTTCCCTGGTACTCTCCCTGTCACTTGTTCCCTGGTACTCTCCTTGTTACTTGTTCTCTGGTACTCTGTCGCTTGTTCCCTGCTACTCTCCCTGTCGCTTGTTCCCTGGTACTCTCCCTGTCGCTTGTTCCCTGGTACTCTCCCTGTCGCTTGTTCCCTGGTACTCTCCCTGTCACTTGTTCCCTGGTACTCTCCCTGTCACTTGTTCTCTGGTACTCTCCTTGTCACTTGTTCCCTGGTACTCTCCCTGTCACTTGTTCTCTGGTACTCTCCCTGTCACTTGTTCTCTGGTACTCTCATTGCCACTTGTTCCCTGGTACTCTCCCTGTCACTTGTTCCCTGGTACTCTCCTTGTTACTTGTTCCCTGGTACTCTCCCTGTCACTTGTTCCCTGGTACTCTCCCTGTCGCTTGTTCCCTGGTACTCTCCCTGTCACTTGTTCCCTGGTACTCTCCCTGTCACTTGTTCTCTGGTACTCTCCCTGTTACTTGTTCTCTGGTACTCTCCCTGTCACTTGTTCCCTGGTACTCTCCCTGTCACTTGTTCTCTAGTACTCTCCCTGTCACTTGTTCTCTGGTACTCTCCCTGTTACTTGTTCTCTGGTACTCTCCCTGTCACTTGTTCCCTGGTACTCTCCCTGTCACTTGTTCTCTGGTACTCTCCTGTCACTTGTTCCTGGTACTCTCCCTGTCACTTGTTCTCTGGTACTCTCCCTGTCGCTTGTTCCCTGGTACTCTCCCTGTTACTTGTTCTCTGGTACTCTCCCTGTCACTTGTTCCCTGGTACTCTCCCTGTCACTTGTTCTCTAGTACTCTCCCTGTCACTTGTTCTCTGGTACTCTCCCTGTTACTTGTTCTCTGGTACTCTCCCTGTCACTTGTTCCCTGGTACTCTCCCTGTCACTTGTTCTCTGGTACTCTCCCTGTCACTTGTTCCCTGGTACTCTCCCTGTTACTTGTTCTCTGGTACTCTCCCTGTCGCTTATTCCCTGGTACTCTCCCTTTCACTTGTTCTCTGGTACTCTCCCTGTCACTTGTTCTCTGGTACTCTCCCTGTCACTTGTTCTCTGGTACTCTCCCTTTCACTTGTTCTCTGGTACTCTCCCTTTCACTTGTTCCCTGGTACCCTCCCTGTCACTTGTTCTCTGGTACTCTCCCTTTCACTTGTTCTCTGGTACTCTCCCTGTCACTTGTTCCCTGGTACCCTCCCTGTCACTTGTTCTCTGGTACTCTCCCTTTCACTTGTTCTCTGGTACTCTCCCTTTCACTTGTTCCCTGGTACTCTCCCTTTCACTTGTTCTCTGGTACTCTCCCTGTCACTTGTTCTTGGTACTCTCCCTGTCACTTGTTCTCTGGTACTCTCCCTTTCACTTGTTCTCTGGTACTCTCCCTTTCACTTGTTCCCTGGTACCCTCCCTGTCACTTGTTCTCTGGTACTCTCCCTTTCACTTGTTCTCTGGTACTCTCCCTGTCACTTGTTCCCTGGTACCCTCCCTGTCACTTGTTCTCTGGTACTCTCCCTTTCACTTGTTCTCTGGTACTCTCCCTTTCACTTGTTCCCTGGTACTCTCCCTGTCACTTGTTCTCTGGTACTCTTTTTGTGAACTACCCCAGTGGAACAAAGTCAGTGTGACTTTTTCAGGTTATCCCAGGTTCTCTACACATATGTTATCCCAGGTTCTCTACACATATGTTATCCCAGGTTCTCTACACATATGTTATCCCAGGTTCTCTACACATATGTTATCCCAGGTTCTCTACACATATGTTATCCCAGGTTCTCTACACATATGTTATCCCAGGTTCTCTACACATATGTTATCCCAGGTTCTCTACACATATGTTGTCCTAGGTTCTCTACACATATGTTGTCCCAGGTTCTCTATACATATGTTGTTATGTATGATAATCTTTGTAACTGTATTTGGGTATACCTTAATAAACTTATTTACTTACTTACTTACTCCCTGGTGCTGTTCAACAACGGCTGGAATTTACTTGTTCAACAGCATCTGGGATAAGCTGTTAGGATGTTCTTGTTCAACAGGAATATTCTATTTGTTCAGTGGCAGCCAAGTCACCTGTTCAGTAACAGGAAGGCCAACCTATTCAACAACAGGAAGGACCAACCTGCTCAACAACAGAAAGAACCGACCTGATCAACAGGACCTACCTGAAGATGACCTTGTGAGGATGGTCACCAGGCTGCAGCCTCCACACAGCTCTCAGTGGTGATGTTGCCAAGATGACAGCCTCTGGGCTCTGACAGACATGGGCGGTTTGGGCGGGGTCAGGCAGGAGCCGCCCCACGCCCACACTGCCCTCACCCTCAACGCTCAACATCAGGAAGGTTGAGAGAGGCGCCACCACCATCACTGTGGAGACAAAAATGGTTTTATGTATCTTATCTTTCGTAAGATAAGATACTTAACATTATATATAGAGACCCAACAATGAAATTTATTCATTATTCATTTAACAGCTGTCTTACCAGAAGTGTAATGAATCACGGTTGGAATGACCCTTTGATTTACACCATCCCCACTCATCCTTCAGAGTGCAGACACTGTACTTCCCACACCCAGGACCCCAACATCCCCACTCATCCTTCAGAGTGGGAGACACGTACTTCCCACACCCAGGACCCAACATCCCCCCTCATCCTTTAGAGTGCAGACACTGTACTTCCCCCACCCAGGACCCCCAAAATCCCCACTCATCCTTCAGAGTGCAGACACTGTACTTCCCACACCCAGGACTCCAACATTCCCACCCATCCTTCAGAGTGCAGACACTGTACTTCCCACACCCAGGACCCCAACATCCCCACTCATCCTTCAGAGTGCAGACACTGTACTTCCCACACCCAGGACCCCAACATCCCCACTCATCCTTCAGAGTGCAGACACTGTAACTTCCACACCCAGGACCCCAACATCCCCACTCATCCTTCAGAGTGCCGACACTGTACTTCCCACACCCAGGGCCCCAACATCCCCATTTATCCTTCAGAGTGCAAAACACGTACTTCCCACACCCAGGACCCCAACATCCCCACCATCCTTCAGAGTGCAGACACTGTACTTCCACACCCAGGACTCAACATCCCCACTCATCCTTCAGAGTGCGACACTGTACTTCCCACCCCAGGACTAAAAATCCCCACTCATCCTTCAGAGTGCAGACACTGTACTTCCCACACCCAGGACCCCAACATCCCCACTCCCTCCTTCAGAGTGCAGACACTGTACTTCCCACACCCAGGACCCCAACATCCCCCCTCATCCTTCAGATGCAGACACTGTACTTCCCACACCCGGACCCAAAAATCCCCACTCATCCTTCAGAGTGCAGACACTGTATTCCCACACCCAGGAAACAACATCCCCACTCATCCTTCAGAGTGCAGACACTGTACTTCCCACACCCAGGACCCAACATCCCACTCATCCTTCAGAGTGCAGACACTGTACTTCCCACACCCAGGGCCAACATTTCCCCCCTTTATCCCTTTAGAGTGCAGACACGTACTTCCACACACCCGGACCCCAACATCCCACTCATCCTTCAGAGTGCAGACACTGTACCCTTCCACACCCAGGACCCCAACATCCCCACTCATCCTTCAGAGTGCAGACACTGTACTTCCCACACCCAGGACCAACATCCCCATTTATCCTTCAGAGTGCAGACACTGTACTTTCCCACCCCGACCCCCCAAAATCCCCCCCATCCTTCAGAGTGCAGACACTGTACTTCCCACACCCAGGACCCAACATCCCCACTCATCCTTCAGAGTGCAGACACTGTACTTCCACACCCAGGACCCCAACATCCCCACTCATCCTTCAAATGCAGACACTGTACTTCCACACCCAGGACCCCAACATCCCCACTCATCCTTCAGAGTGCAGACACTGTACTTCCCACACCCAGGACCCCCCAAAATCCCCATCATCCTTCAGAGTGCAGACACTGTACTTCCCAAAACCAGACCCCAACATCCCCCCCATCCTTCAGGTGGGAGACACTGTACTTCCCACACCCAGGACCCCAACACCCCACTCATCCTTTAGAGTGCAGACATGTACTTCCCACACCCAGGACCCCAACATCCCCATCAAACCTTCAAGTGCAGACACTGTACTTCCCACACCCAGGGCCCCAACATCCCCACCATCCTTCAGAGTGCAGACACTGTACTTCCCACACCCAGGACCCCAACATCCCCACTCATCCTTCAGAGTGCAGACACTGTACTTCCCACACCCAGGACCAACATCCCACTCATCCTTCAGAGTGCAGACACTGTACTTCCCACACCCAGGACCCCAACATCCCCACTCATTCCCTTTAGAGTGCAGACACTTTAAATTCCACACCCAGGACCCCAAACATCCCCACTCATCCTTCAGAGTGCAGACACTTACTTCCCACACCCAGGACCCCAACATCCCCACTCATCCTTCAGAGTGCAGACACTTTCTTCCCACACCCAGGACCCCAACATCCCCACCATCTTCAGAGTGCAGACACTTACTTCCCACACCCAGGACCCCAACATCCCCACTCATCCTTCAGAGTGCAGACACTTACTTCCCACACCCAGGACCCCAACATCCCCACTCATCCTTCAAATGCAGACACTGTACTTCCCACACCCAGGACCCAACATCCCCACTCATCCTTCAGAGTGCAGACACTGTACTTTTCCCCCACCCAGGACCCCACATCCCCAATCATCCTTCAGAGTGCCGACACTGTACTTCCCACACCCAGGACCCCAACATCCCCACTCATCCTTCAGAGTGCAGACACTGTACTTCCCACACCCAGGACCCCAACATCCCCACTCATCCTTCAGAGTGCAGACACTGTACTTCCCACACCCAGGACCCCATCATCCCCAATCATCCTTCAGAGTGCCGACACTGTACTTCCCACACCCAGGACCCCAACATCCCCACTCATCCTTCAGAGTGCGACACTGTACTTCCCCCACCCAGACCCCAACATCCCCACTCATCCTTCAGAGTGCAGACACTGTACTTCCCACACCCAGGACCCCAACATTCCCACTCATCCTTCAGAGTGCAGACACTGTACTTCCCACACCCAGGACCCCAACATTCCCACTCATCCTTCAGAGTGCCGACACTGTACTTCCCACACCCAGGACCCCAACATCCCCACTCATCCTTCAGAGTGCAGACACTGTACTTCCCACACCCAGGACCTCAACATCCCCACTCATCCTTCAGAGTGCAGACACTGTACTTCCCACACCCAGGACCCCAACATCCCCACTCATCCTTCAGAGTGCAGACACTGTACTTCCCACACCCAGGAGTGCTAGAATATCTGATGCACGAAAGGAGGCGCTGACCAGGGAAGTGGAAACTATCGAACTTAAGCTAAATGACTCTTACAGGAACCAGGAGAGGCAGGAGGAGCTTAAAGCTATTAGTGAAATTGGAAGAAATTCAAAATATTTCTTTTCATATGCCAAAAACAAGGCAAATACCACATCTCAGTATCGGGCCCTTACTCAGACAGGATGGGACTTACACAGACGACAACAAGGAAATGAGTGAAATATTGAAATCCCAGTACGACTCTGTGTTTAGTGAACCACTAATCGGTCTGAGGATCGACGACCCAAATGATTTCTTCATGAATGAGCCTCAAAACTCCATAAATGTATGCCAGATTTCCGACATTACCCTAACTCCGATAGATTTCGAAAAAGCCATTGACAACATGCCTATGCACTCAGCCCCGGCCCAGACTCGGGGAAAACTTTTGTTTTCATTAAGAACTGCAAGAAACCCCTTTTCGCGTGCCCTAAGTACACTATGGAGGAGGAGCTTGGACAGGGGGCGAGATTCCACAGTCACTTAAAAAAACGGATTATAGCCCCGCTCCATAAAGGTGGCAGCAAAGCATTAGCTAAGAACTATAGACCAATAGCCTGACGTCCCACATCATAAAAATCTTTGAAAGAGTGCTAAGAAGCAGGATTGCAAATCACCTGGATTCCCAAAATCTGCACAATCCAGGGCAACATGGGTTCAGGGCAGGTCGCTCCTGCCTCTCACAACTACTGGATCACTATGACATGGCCTTGGATGCACTGGAAGAAAATCAGAATGCAGATGTAATATACACAGACTTTGCAAAAGCATTTGACAAATGCGATCATGGTGTAATAGCCCATAAAATACGTGCTAAAGGAAATAACTGGGAAAGTGGGAGATGGATCTTCAACTTCCTAACAAATCGAACACAAAGAGTATGGTCAACAGAGTTAAATCGGAGGCTGCCATAGTGAAGAGCTCTGTTCCACAAGGCACAGTACTCGCCCCCATCTTATTCCTTATCCTCATATCAGACATAAACAGAGATATACACCACAGCACCGTATCATCCTTTGCGGATGATACTAGGATCTGCATGAGGCTGTCATCTGCTGAGGACGCGGTTAACCTCCAAGAAGATATAAACAAAGTTTTCCAGTGGCAACGGTAAACAATATGATGTTCAATGAGGACAAATTCCAACTACTCCGTTATGGAAAACTGGAGGAGATAATAACTAGAACAGAGTATACTACTGACTCCGGCCATACAATAGAGCGGAAAAATAATGTAGGGACCTGGGAGTAGTAATATCTGAGGATCTCACTTTCAAGGATCACAACAGTGCCACGATCGCACGTGCAAAGAAAATGATAGGATGGATAATGAGAACTTTCAAAACGAGAGATGCCAAGCCATGATGATCCTTTTCAAATCACTTGTTCTCTCTAGGCTGGAATACTGCTGTACATTAACATCTCCATACAAAGCAGTGAAATCGCAGATCTAGAGATGTACAGAGATCCTTTACTGCACGTATAAGTTCTGTCAAGCACCTTAACTACTGGGAACGCTTAAAAAGCACTTGACTTGTACTCGTTGGAACGCAGGAGGGAGAGATATATCATAATCTACACTTGGAAAATCTTGGGAAAGGGAAAGGTCCCAAATCTGCACACAGAAATCACTCCCTACGAAAGTAAAAGACTGGGCAGGGCGATGCAAAATGCCGCCAATAAAAAGTAGGGGCGCCATTGGTACACTAAGAGAAAACACCATAAGTGTCCGGGCCCAAAACTGTTCAACAGCCTCCCATCAAGCATTAGGGGAATTGCCAATAAACCCCTGGCTGCCTTCAAAGAGAGCTGGACAGATACTAAGTCAGTGCCGGATCAGCCGGGCCTGTGGCTCGTACGTCGGAAACGCGTGGGCCAGCAGTAACAGCCTAGTTTGATCAGGCCTGGATCCATCGGAGGCCTGGTCGTGGACCGGGCCGCGGGGGCTTGACCCCGGAATAA